TCTTAAAAGATGGAAATAAACATTGTCTCTAAAACCCAAACCAGACAAAATCTAGTTTTAAGAAGCATCTAGGAATGGAGTATATTTGATTTATCTCATCAGCCCTTAGAAATGATAGCGAATGCTTTTTCATTGACCATACAAGAATGGATTATCTCACAAGTCTTTTCTGCCTCCAGCTGTTTGAAACCATAAATAACAAACGTAGAGTTAAATGCCTAAGTCCTGCATCCAAATGGAAGTATATTGCTGTACTCAGCTGACATCTTGATAATCTTGTCATCACACATTTCAGGCCAGAAATCCAAGACATAGATGGCAGCTCCCAATGTCATGGATTAGCAAGTGAGAAAGCAGATGATGTGGATGATGAAGATGAAGAACTGGAAGAGGAAGATGATGACAGCCTGACAGGGAAATCGCAGGAGGAAACAGTATCGCCCACAACAGAGCCCCGAGGAACATTTGAGGATGAGGAGGATGAAGAGCCCACATCCCTCACCATGAGCTTTGACCATACCCGAAGGTGGGTTAGGCTATGTCCTCTGTAAAACACACCCGGGTTTAATTTCTGGCCTTGTGTTGTTAACAGGTCATGAGCAGTATCACTTTATTTTTACACCATGACTCATACCTCCAGTTTGAGCACAGCATCCACCCTAGGTATTTCATTTTCACCATCATGGAAATCAGAAGGGGGAAATGCACTGAAAGGCAAAACTAATAAGTTACATACAAGGCCTGAAAAGGCGTGTGCCAGGAAGGTAAATAGTTAGCACCTGACGAAAAGGAGCCTGCTCAAAATTTGCATGAATTCTTCTTTCTGCACAACCGATAAAGTCTGTTTTCAGAACACTTGTCAGGGAGAAGGCAGTGCCAGGTGTGGATGATAGGAGCATGCAAACTGTCAGGTTTTCCAGCGTACCATCCATCTTATTTACAGCAAAATGGCAGTATCTTATTATCTTGGTACCTGAGGCACAGAATTGATTTCAGTGGAGTCAGTGGGGTCACTCTTATCTGGGCTGAGTGAATGTGTCCCCATGCTCTTGTTTCATTTTTGTGTCCATGTGTGCTCTGTATCCTGGTTCATACACCACCAAACAGACCTCTTCAGGAGAAATATCTTAAAATGTAATCAAAATATTGAAAGGAAAGGAGACCTATGCTGCTTCTCTTCTGTTTTGTTCCACTTCTGAGGTTGAAAATGCAAAGCTTTGTAAGCCAAGATAGCTGACTGCCTGCTTCAGAAGAGTGTATGTTAAAATGTATACTGCAAGGCAGAAAAGTGTGAAAGGATAATTTACATTGGAAAACACAGCAAAATATAGTTGTTTGACTACACAGAATGTGAAGGGACTCTCTTTCCTTTTGATTGCTTAAGGATTTGCATTTCACACTCATTGCATCTGTGAGCTGGCATGTTGAAGTCCATTCAGGGTGTGGTCCAGTGAACAGGGCAGAGAGAAAGGAGTTAGGGGATGAAACCTTTACCCTGGCTCTGCCACCGATTTGTTTCTGTGTGACTTTCCACTGAAACCCATATTTTCAGGAAAGACTCTTTTGGATGCCCAGGTTTGGAGTGCCCAAGTGACCACGACTCCTATTGACTATGACCAGTATTGTCAGGACTTGCAAAAATCAGGTCCTAAGAATCTAACTTTGTATCATAAACTGAGTATCAAAAATGCAAGTCCACTGCCAAAAATGTGGGCCTTAGCTTGCCTGGTGCCATAGTTCTCATCTGCAAATTAATGATGCTTTGTTATCTGCTGATGCAAAGTGTTGTAATATTCAAAGTGTTTCCAATTAAATATCCTATAACTCATGGAGACCATGGAGCAGCAGCTACACAAGCTATTGTTGATTCCCCACGTTTTTTTCAGGAATAGATAAAAACCATACTTCTATACACAGGGAATCTGAATGAAAATGGTCTCCACACTGAACGACAGAACACGTGCTTGCACTAATGCTTGCAGTGTAGGCTCATAACCATGCTTTCTGTTTTTAGTTTGCTCCCAGCATCATGTGTTGTTTTCTTGTCTGTTTGTCTGTCTATTCATGCATGTGGCTTGTGGGAACCCCATGTTATGTGCATGCAGGCGCTGAGTTAGCAATACTCACATTGGCTAGACTGTAAACGGCGCGATGAGCTAACAACAGGTCAACCCCTTCCCCTGGTCATTGGTACAGGTGTATTGAGGAGGACGAAGCCGGCTTGTTAGATTTGGAGCAGATGCCGAATTTTGGGAAGGGGCTGGATCTTCGCAAAGCAGCCGAGGAAGCATTTGAAGTTAAAGATGTGTTTAATTCCACCTTAGACTCTGAGACAATAAAACAGACTCTGTACAGGCAGGCTAAAAACCAGGTAGGTATATGACAGAACATTTCACCTAGCTTGCCACCAGCATTGCCATGGGAGTAGTGATCAGCAGTGTGTTCCTTGAGCTAGGTTGGTTTTCTCTCTGCGCTGAGTTGGAATTCTGATGGTCGCTAATTTGGGAACTGCGTCTGCTTGCAGCCATGTCGCAGTCCAGAAGAAACAGGAGTGGGACTGTTAACTTAGGCCTCATATAATCAGCGTCATTGACCATCAACCCTGTAGAGTGAATATGAGTTGTGTGGAGATAGAGGGGCATCAATTGATCTTTCTGTATATAAATGTATATAGAAAGGTGATAATTACAAGCTTTCAGCCAACTCATCCACTGATATATTTTGGAATAGCTCCAGCTAAGGAACTGTCCTATTGAAACCAGTAAAATATAACAGAATTTAACAATAGGGACAACAAACCTAATGAATAATAGCTTTTCTAGACTTTCTTGGAGAGTTGCATCAATCCAAGCAGAAAATGCAACTTTCTTATGCATTAGGCATTGTCTTGATCTCTGTACTGATTGCTCCTATTGAAAAGAACTTCAAACCAAAACTCTGCCTCACTAGCAATAAGCCATGAACCATATAGACACAAACAAGAACCAAGCCCAGCTTTCTGTCAAAACTCAAATGGCATCCCAATGTATCTTGAAGTCTGAGAGACTTTGAAGAACTCATATTTAAAGAAAAGCGGTATGTTCTGTGCTCCCTGATTTCACTTGAAGCAAAAATACTGCTCAAGTCTCTAGTCTCTTGATACTTGCACCTTATCCAAACAGAAAAAGGTCTTACGAGGAAGCTATTCTGAGTTATCTAGCCCAATTCCTCGAACGAAGGGCACATTTTGAGATAAGCCTCAGAGAAAGTGTCTGACCGAAACTTCAACTTTTTGCCCTCAATCTGTCCTTCTGAACTGCATAAAACAAACCCATGCAGTTTCAATATTTCCCTTCAATACTAATGCAGATTTGAGCATACTTAACAGTGTGTCTGCTTCAGGTTTCATTTGGCACAATCAGCTACTGCACTTGGATTTCCTTTTTGAGCTCCAAGGAACAGGATTTGCAGTGACGGCTAACTTAAATGACCAGCCAGTATAGCTGCTAAATTCAGTCACGTAATAGAGATAGGACTTTTACTAAGGTCAGACAGAATTGTACCGGACACCCTAAAGGTACTTTATTGTGGTTACTTAAGCTTCAGACAAGAAAAGGCACTGCCTCCTGGAAGCGGTTGAAATGGTCTTCACTGTGGATGTAGATGCATTTAATGGGGTTTGGCATACGAAGGAGGGAGATCACTTCTTTTCTGATAAAGCGCATTTAAAATTTCAAACAAGGCACTTGCATGCCCTCTGTTTGTGTCCTTTTACTAATATGCTGACTCTACTAACTATCTTGGGACACCTGTTTTTTTTTTTCTTTTTTTCACTGCAATGGTAGGTGTGATGTGTGATTGTTTTTAGAAACAGTTTTGTAGAATGGGAGATGGAAGACATACCACGTATTGAGAGGCAGGGTCACTCAAATAGTTTCAGATTCTCTGATGCGCATATGTTAAATGCAGGCAGTATAGTAAAAAAACATTTACTCAGCAAAGCATGACAGTCTTATTGTTCAGTTCATTCTGTTTGGCTTTCTCTGTAGCAATTTAAATAGGCACATGTTTCAAAGGGTTGGGTTGGAGTTCTGTTTACTACAATGATGATGATTATGATTAAGTTTGTTTTACAACCACAACTAGGGATGACTGTGCTAAACATTGCAGACATGTGGAGGAAAAACACTGTGCTGCCCGGAAGAACTTGCAGTCCTGGTCCTCTATCCCACAAAGACTAATGCATATATATCTTCTTAATGTTATGGGTGGCTCCGCTCAGTTTCACATCCCCATCATGTAAAATTCCAGGTGTGCATAAGTCTTTGAAGGATTGGGACTTAAGTGTTAACAATGCAAAAAGTGGATAAGACAAGCAAGTAACAAGGAGGGGAAGGTCTAGGGAACAGTAAAGCAAACCAATTATCATGCCATAACCAGAAGCCCCAGCTTATTTCTTCTCACATTTTCACAAGGTAGCCCTAGAGTAAAGCACACAAGCATGGACTTGGGACTCTGCTAACATACCTGCAAATACTGCACACATATATACCCTGTTCCCTCTGCACAAGCCACAAGTCCATCCAGACCTAGCAGAGTTGCTCGGCAGATTAAATAGATGCCATATACAAAGCTCCTGTTCTCTAAGCCATACCCTGACCTTTGCTGTGACATAGCCGAACCTCATCTAGATTTATACTCTTACCTGTCCACGGAAACTTCCAAAAGCCAGTTTTTCATGGCAAGGAATTCCTGTCGTGTACATGCATGTGTCCTGTCTTACTACACAGTTATACTGATCATGACCCTACATGGGAGTGTGAGTGTGCTGGGGGCTTGTGCTCCAAAACTTAGTCCCTGTTGAGGTCTGTGCCACTATAGCAAGACTGTATGTGAGCTGGCAGGGGGGCACCATGCTACAGCACAGCTTTATACTTTGGCAGTCACATGCACTATGATATATGCATTTTTGAAAACTGTGTCAAGGAAGTGGGCCAAAGTGCTGGCTCCTGGAGATATTCCCTGGGAGGAGTTATGTCCCATAGGAGAGGGGTCTGGTAGTATATGTTAGGATTTGTTATCAAGTGTCAGGCCCTGGCACAGAGGTGGGGGTTTGAGGAGACAGAGGAAGGTGGCAGGTTTGCCTGTCTAGGCCCATTGCTGCCTCCTAAACTCTATGGCAAAATCCAAATCGTTTGTGGGAGGACAAGAACTGATTGATAGACAGGGCTGCCAGCCCACAGCAATGCTGTCTGCCTGTTTGGCGTTCTGGAATGTAAATAGTTAAATGAGACTGTACTTCCCCTGGGTGAGTCCAGGATGTCCTCAGTATGAGTCACCCATTTATCCACCTGTGTTTTCCTTCTCTAGGCTTATGCAATGATGATGTCCCTTTCTGAGAATGCTCCCCTCCACACTTCCTCCCAGAATTCTCTGGATGCTTGGTTGAACATGGCAGGAGCAGCTTCAGAGTCGGGGACCTTTAACCCCATTAACCACCTCTGAGAGGTCGAGAAGGCACTGGGTCAGAGTCCAAGTGAGGCAGCCGCGGTGCTGTGATTGCCCTATCAGAAATTCCAGCAAACAGAAGATGGATCCCAGGGCCTCGGGCAGTCAGCTGTGGAAAGAAACCTGTCATGTGTGATCTGCAGCTCCTGAACTTTTATCTCTCTGCAGCTGTTCAGTTCAAATGTGTCGGAACAAAACTCTCCAAACCGGATAGCCCTGAAGCTGCCCTAGGACCCTACCATCGCTAAGGATAGTGTTAACAAGACGGGAATTGCATTGGTGCAATCAAATATTGGCCCCCTCAGAGTTGCAAGACAATACCGCTGAGCCAGCTAGAGTCTCCTTCTAAACTCACACTTGAAACCATGTGACTCTCCACCATCCATTCAGTTCAGTTGACTAACTGTAACAAGGAAAACATGAAACTAGATCACATCCGTCCCTGGTGTAATTCTATATGTGGTTACTGGAATTATACCAAGGAAGGGCAAAGTTGGGCCCATTTTATTTAACTTGCCTCTTTTAAAGAGATTGAAATTCTGCATCTGCACAGATTTCCATCCTCCCCTCCGCACGTCCGCCATCATCCCCAAGAGAACATATACATGCAAGGCAAAATGGTGCAGTGAATCTGCAATGCAGGCAGTCGGGATCCCCTAGAGCTGGGATCATTTCTGCCAGGAGTGTTGCTGGAGCTGGGGACTTATCTGCATTGGACAAAACGGTGGACTGTGCCTTGTGAGCTCTGCCCTGGAAAACCCACCCCTCTGTCACTTCTCCCAGAGGGTCTTTAGAATGAGGCCCCTGCAGTATTGGTGGGAGCCTGGATTTTGGCAGAAACTTCTGCCCCATGCCCTCATGTTGGTTTGTTGGTGGTTGCTTATGCACAGCACCCTGCCATAATTTGGCCCATCATTTTGATAACATGCCTAAAATTTCTTGGCTTTTAGTAAGCTTATGAGTACAGATCTACTTAAACAAGTGGCTAAGAAAATGTATCGTCTTTCTGAATCTAAATCTATTTGCAAATTTTTTTACGGATGATTTTAAATTGCTCAGAAGTCTCAGCTTTTTGGCTGACACAAAACAGCCTCCAGGAATATTGCAGCGTGTCTGTGCTATTTCCACGTTGTGATAGCCACCTGGTATTTTAGCCGGTATTTTATAGGTAAAACTAAACTTGAAAATAATTATGACAAGGGGGGTTGAAACATGACAAGGAATTACATTGGCAACACTGATGATGCTTGTGGCTTACGTTTGAGAAATTCCTAGGTATTTTATCATAGAATTAGGGCTCCCTCTGGCCTGAGACTTTAAGTGACAGCAAGGGTGCCACAAACTTGCCCATTCAATGTGCTGTATCAGCGACTTGCTACAGTCCTCAAGGTGCACTGATGACCCAGTTGCTTAAAGCCTTCAGTCAAAGCCCATTGGTGTCGATAGGAGTTTTTCCATTGACTTCAGTGGACTCTGGGCCAGGCCACTTCTGAGTATTTGCAGAACTGGGTCACTAGCCAACTTCTGAGGAACTACTCACAATAGTAAATGCATCTGCTGGTCAGTGTTTATAAATTTGCTCCCTGCCCTGGTATTATCTGTAACAGAACAGACTGCAGCTGCTATGCTATTGAACATGGAGAAGGAGATCGCTGGAGCAGAGGTCCCTGCATGCTGTGCTTCATCTTGAGGTAGCTGCTCAGGTTAAGATGGAACATTGTATTCTGGGGCCTGCAATCTTAGTGGGCCACACTTCAAGACATGAGGCTGGGTTTTAGCATGCCAGGAGCCTCTGTTGGATGGCTCATGGCGCTGTGCTTTGTGTGCCTCTTGGGTAAAAGGAATGAAAGGCTCATTAGCAGTATCAAATTATTCTCCCCGTTCACTCAGAGAGGGACATCTCTCCTGCATGTCTCTCCAAGTCACCGCATATAAGTGCCGAAAGCTCTGAATCCAATAGCGATATGTAACTAACTCCCCTGTTTCAAATGTTTGCACAAAGCTCTTGGCGAGCTGTAGCCCAAGAACTGACAATGTCAGGAGAAACCAGTCTCTAGGAGTCAGATGGAACATTCCTAACCCTGGCACATCTGCCTATGGTATAACATAACAGTACTTCCCATTCACTTGGGCTTTAAATTATTCCCATAGGGGCCAATTTAAAATAATAATTAATTGTTCTGTTCCTGATGGAATTTACCTTAATCTGTATATAACTTGTAAGTTTTTCTAATTCTTTTCTTATTTTATTTCTTCCTTAACAGTATTTTTTGCATTAGATATCATTATTGTGAAGAAATAATGTTAATATAAGTATGTAGTGAAGGACCAAAATTGTGTAATTAAGGTTGTATGTTGTATGATTGATAACCAAGGAGTAGGAAGATATTTTTATGTGCCAAATGACCCTAAATAATCCTGCTGTTCTTGCTGCCGATTTTCCAGACAATCATGTATTTTGTTAAATTTGAGTTTCAATTACATTTGCATTTAGAATAAGTGTTCTATTTATTTCTTTTATTTTGTTTGTTTGGGGGAAAAATATCATAACCAGAAAAAAACCTCCCCAAATGCCCTTAATAGGACAAAATAATCAAAACTCAAAAAAGCAAGGAGAAGTGTAAATAAAAACAACTGTGAAAATCCATATTGTGGCCAGGATGCCATACAATGCAAATGTGCCATATGTTAAAAACTAATCAATGCTTATTTATATAAAAGAGCGGAAGAAAAATCCTGCCAGTATAATTTTTTTAAAAAATATAAACAATCTACACTTTGTACATACCTGGAACACGAATCTAGAAGTGTAGATGGGTAGTTGCAGGATAACACTGATTCCATTAGAGTTTATAGCCATTTGCAAAAGCACCAGGTCTAATTACTAGAGCTAAAAGGTTATTCTTCTGAAAAGAACTCCATAGTCCATAGCAAGGCTGTCACCCACATAGGGTTGGTTTAATCTTTGCTCTGAAAAACAAATATACCCTAAAAGGACCTTCCCAGGTGAGAACCTCAAATCTGTAGACACTTACATACATGTAACTGTACTCACATGAGTAGCTTGGCAGGAGTACTTATGTGATCATCTCTAGGACCGGGCTTTAGAGTCTCTCATTCCTGTGATCAGCAGCGGGCACTATAAAGCCCTAACTTGGCAAAACACCTAAGTGTGTAACTAACTTTAAACTTAGAAGTAAATCAATCCCTGTTCAGTTAAAGTACTTAAGCATGTGCCTAAATCCTTGTGAAGTCAATGGGACTATTCATGTGCTTAAAGGTAAGCATGTGCTCTCAATCCTTTCTGGATTGGGGCCAGAGTGCTCTGCCACTTGTAGGATCAAGTGCAAAGGGCAAGAGTCCTTTGGTGTTTTGTTTGCAAGTCACTGACACCAGTTCTCCTTAGCTTTGCTCCTCCGTATGAGGGGATGACAGGGCAGCCAGGTGTCTCCAAATGAGCACAGAGGCTGTAACAGAAGTGTTACACAGGCCTTTTTTGTCTTCCCTCCAGGGTACAAACTCAGCCCTGCTGTTGTTTGCATTGCTTCTTCAGAAGAAGAATGTAGGAAAAGCTCTGAACTCTGCATCCCTTTTCCCTTAGCCTCTACAAAGGAGGCTGTGCCATCCCTGCTTGCACTGAGCAGTCCTGCTGATCTTCTGATCACTGTGAGCAGGGGCTGACACACACTTTGCCCTTCTTTACAACAATGAACGATCTTTTAAAATAAAATAATTCCTTTTTTTTTCTTTTCAGTTTCCTGTTACTTTAAAAAAATATTCCTATAGCTGGTCTCTCTGTCAATGTTAGGATCCAGACTTCTCTAAAACGGTTCTGATGACCTGTTTTAGGGTTTTTTTCAGTAACGTAACAAACACAATGCTTAGTTGAGTTTATATTGATCTGTTAACCCCTCATTCAACTGCACTTAAAATGTGTTCCAATTTGTAGCTGATATTTGTTTTTTTCAGGTTTTTTAATCTTACTTTGAAGGATGTTTCCTGAGACTTGCTTATGTTTAGAATAAATAGAGACAAGACGGAGCCTACCATCAGAATTGAAATGATTTTTAAGCACTAGCCATGAGAAAAACCTGGGTCCCTAGTTTCAGTTGCATGTGGAGCAGTGCAGCTCAAATATACCCTGCACCACTAATGCATTACGCTCAGGAAGCAATGCTATCGATGTGATATATCAGACTGTGTAGTTAGAGCAAATGCAGCTTGGTATTTCTTTGAAATCAAGGGTACCATCATAGATGTGATCCTGGCCACCAACTATTGGGGCGCGGGCACTATTGCGTTAATCTGTTTTTGCAGCTCCAGTAGGTAACCACATTGCCACCATAGCAAAGGGAGGGAATGGGATGCATTACATCACAAGGGATGAGCCAACAAATCAATCAGCAGCTGAGGCCATGGACAAGCCTCTGGCTGTGCCAGATTGTTCCGTACTGCTGAAATGGAACTGCATGTTGATGGGCCCTTCCTTCTGCTATAGCTACTTTGAATGTAGATACTTTATAGATGAGCTAAATATAAGCGTTAAAAAGTGGTTTACTGTCCTTGCTGCTCCTTTGTGTTGCTCACTCAGATATCAGCCTTCGAAATAATGATGTCGGTCATGGGATTGGTGCAGAGTGTGCCCAAAGCAATGCTGTTGCTGTGCTACTTGGTATTCCAGTACATCCAGGTCGAATGCATCCACTTTGTTACTGGATGTACCAGATGTGTCCAGGATTTGTTGTTAGATGCACCAGGTATGTTTCTGTAGAGGATACCTGCTGGGCTCCTGCAGGCTTCAGGTGCCTACTTCCAAATGCACTGGCTGTGTCCTATGTTCCATTGATTTCAAGGAAAAATTACTGCTGCTTAGACCACAACAGGTGTGATGACAGTGTGCTAGCAACAAGCAAAACAAAACAGGGTTAACAGCCACACATGAGCTGAATTTGCGATGCTGCGTTCAAGGCAAAATACAAAGTTATGATTTCTGTCCTGCTTCAAACTGATTAGCAGAACTTTTCAATTTCCCCCAAATCAGCACTTAGAATTTCAATAGACTTACTGAAAACTGCTTCTCTCTCATTTTATATGAAGCATTAATAAAAGCACTTGCACAATGACATATTAACATGTTTAGACTCTAAGCATCAAAGCACTGGACTGTGAGCCCCCTTCAGCCCCTCCAGCCTACTTCAATCTACTGACTTACATTCAATTTTTATGTGCTGTATTTTTGTATGTGTGTGGCGGGGGAAGGGGGAAGCATCATGGTGTAGAAACCTGCACTTTGCTGCCCATTTAAAAATGGGCAGGGAGTGAAACAGTCTGCTCAGATCTGTGCTGGTAACATGAGGGCAAAAACTTTGCCCCTAAATGGTCAGTAGTGTTTTTCACCAAGCCATGAAACTGTTTCTCCATAGTGTTGAGTGATACTGTGATTAAAATGTTATTGAATTATTCCAAGATTTCTTTTGTCTTTATTCTGTCATTGATTCCTATTACCACTTTTGGAAAAAAGAAAGAAAAAGATAGAAAAAAAAGGCAGCTCTGATTTCCAAATGTGCAATTCACATGTGAACAAAGTAATTTTGAAGATGTTTCTCAATGTATTTTACATTCTCATTGCTCTCTTGAAAGCAAGAGATGTTCTGCCCTGATGTCATTTCCAGCCTGCAGAAGATGTAATTTAAAACATATATATATTGTGCTTGCAAGAATCATAAATCCATGCATCCTATGTCATTCTTTCTCCCATTGTTACAATACAGATTTGATTTAGTTTTTTTTTTCCTTTAGGACTGTATAGTGTTTTTTTTAAAAAAAAAAATCAATTGTAAATGTCTGGTTTTCATAAAATGTTTAAAAAACATTGAGAAAGAGGATGGTGCTTGTTCCATATCATTCTTGATTGTATATTGCTTCTGTTATGTTTATAAGTAAACTGTGCATGACTTGTGTTTAGCAGTCATTATTGTGTCTGTTTGTGAAATTTTTATTAAAAAGAAAAAAAATTCCGTAGATGCACTTATTGTATATGTGATTAGGTTTTGCGTCCAAGGCTAGAAGCCTTGAACTGCCAAGGAGGAAAAAAAAAAGAAAAAGAGGTGGCAGTTATTAATTAATATGAAATCGCTTTGTTGGGAGCATAATGAAATAAAAAGAAATGAAGTGTAGAAAATAATTAAAAAAGCGATTTTACAAATTTCATTTTGATGCTTGTGATAAAAGACAAATGTACTTGTGTAGAGAAATTCCTTTAAAATAATGACTAGGAAAGCTGATTTTGAGGTTAATGCTGTAGAATAGGAATGTATACCAAATGTAATCTTTCCAATGCTACAATGAATTTATACATGAGATTGATATGCAATAAACCTGTGTGCTTTTCTAAGCCATGGCCCTGAGAGTTTTCTTGGGCAAAGCGCAGTGCCACACATGAGAAGGGGGATGCTTGGAAATAGTTTGGTGATCGGGCCTGGGTTTTGTAATGCTTTTATATTAAGGGAAAGTGTTATGGAAACGTGGTTTTAATTTGTGAAAGATAACATCCATCCTCCCTGTCCCTCCCACACTATGCTGTTTGGTTGCTGGATTCAAGGGCAAAGCAGCTCTGTAACTCCCTCCACTGCATGTGACATGTCACATCAACAAAGAGAATCAGTCCTCCAGTGCTCGCCATACCACATTAAGGGCTTCAAAGGAGCAGCAGAGCAGCAGTGCTACTCCTCATGGGAGGACAATGAGTACCATGCTGAGGTTGGGGAAGCACCTAACCATCTGCAGCATTTGTGGCAGTACTCACACCACAAACTCACTTGTCAGTTGTCAAGTATTTGTGGTGGCCAGATGAACAGCAAGCGCCCTAAGTTTGCAGGACACTGACAGATAAGTATGGTAGAATGACTTTAATGAGCCTACTTTGTCTCCGCAGGGGCTTAGCTAACTAATATTTCACCTGTCTTAATCTGAAATGCAGTGAGTGATCTTTTGATCTTCTGGAGGTTTGGAGAAGGATAAAAAAGGTAAAACAAGCATCTCGCCCTCTTCCCTTGAGTCTGCTCCATGGTCTGGCAATGGCCATGGTCAATGCCACCAAATGTCCCAGCCTTGAGAGGAGGCACTTTTTTTATTATAAAATTCTGACTGGTGGGGGAGGCTATCATGGGACAAAAAGAAGAGGAGATTTTGGGGAGGAGGTATGATTATAGGGGAAGAATCTGTGAGCTGTTTAAGTAGGTTAAGCATATTTTCTCCGTAGCACTATGAGCAGAGCATTAGAGAACTATCTAGTGATAGCCGTCAGATGTTTCAGCGGGGGCACTGGGAGCAAAAATGACTTGAAAGCAGGGTCTTTGAACTAACGATGTGAATTTCAAAACTGATGAATGGTCTGTGCTTCAAAAAGTCATTCATAGTGATCAAATGATGGTATCCAACATACAACATAATAGCACTTCCCTGGAGTTTGCCATATAAGGGTTGCAGTCTTCGTTGAATTCTGAGTTGAAATCCTCTGCATCTCTGTGGAGGCTGGCAACCTCTCTCCTTATTAGCCCTGGAGGGGAAGGGGGGAAAAAGAATCTACTGGCTAAGAAAGCTCTGATAATAGAGCGATTGTCAGGCAGGCCTTAGAGGGGAGAGAACAGAGACTTTTAAGAGAATATTGCTGACAAGTGGACTTTGTCGTCCAGAAAGCACGTGAGCCTCACCATAAACCAGCCAGAAAAAGGCCCCATTTTTAGGAAAGGGAGAGGAAAAAAAAAATCAACAGGAGGGGAAGAGGATGTCAAGGAAAGCTCTGTTCCCAGGGAAATGTATGTTGTCAAGTGGTGTAGATCCACACGGTATTGTGGACCATAGTCAGGTTTTACTGACAAATTGGGCCAGCTACTCTGGATGTGGATAACCTCATATTTTGTCACACACCCTGAAACACCTTTTTAATTGTGGGAGGCATGCACAGCATCTGAGATCCATGCTTTCTCTGTGGGTTGCAAGGTGCTGATTAGGCCTGTCATAAGAAGGGGCCCCTGCCTCCCAGATCTTACAATCTCAGCCAGTGAGACGGGCAGGCGGTGGAAGGAAAAGTTTCAGTCAGATGTGTAACATCAGTAGCATCACCCAGGAGCAGTATGGTAAGAGAAATACTTGTGAAGGGTGTGCACTTCAGGGAGACATGGGCTTCTCCTATAACACAAGATTAACTGTCCTGCTCACAGTTCAAGGCCACACCATCTGAGCTGGATCCCTCAACCAGGACTCTCGGCCCTAATCACCAGACCATGCCTCCTCTTCAATCATCTGGACCCACCATTTTGCTTTGTCTAAGCATCTCTCATTTGTAGACAAATACTCATACAACAAATACCTTCCTCCCACCTCCTGCCTGTCTCATCTGCTAAGATTGTAAGCACTGTTGGTCCTTTGCACAAGGTGACCTTTACTTGGGAAAAAACAGGATGGCAGCAATGATGTGTAAGCTGAAACAGCCATTACCCCTGAGATCGCCCTGATCATTACAGGACAAGCTGTAAGTGATTTTGCACTCCTGGCCATGAGGATAACAGAAACCCAAGAGTTTGTTCCCCTCTTCTCTTTTTTAGATGGGAGAATATGACACCTGACAGTCATCTAGCACTTATCCAAACCCCACAGACCTACCCAGGATCTTGCAAGAGAAGGTCTATCTTGTGAGGCTTCTGGTCCCTTCTCATTGACAGCTGGACATGACAGACTATGGTAACGTCAACTCCCACTCACCAAGTGCTTCCACATCCAGAGGAAGTGTAGAGAAGGTGCAGAAAGTACTGTGTAAGGATAATGAGAAATGGGCAAGGGTGGACTAAATTTTATTCAATTCGTGGTAGAGAAAGGTCGGCCTGGGTCTGATTCTGTATCTTTGCACACACAGGGCTCTTTGGAACTAGGGATGCAAGCTGGGCCCATGTCTGAGAGGAATAGCTCTTGAAAGCAGAATAAAGTCCTTATCAACCTCTCAAACCTCCCAGTCATATCAGCTTGATCAAGCTTCCTTGGCAACAGTGGCACTTCTGGATGCCAGGACCATACTTTTTGTATTACTAGAGATGGGCTAAAGAACCCGTCTCAGAAACATTAACAGACAGACATGCCCTGTTCAGTCACTCGCTACCCCCACCACTATCACCAAACAAAGCGAAGACATAAAGTTTCTGTCAACAGGCTTGCTAATGGCCCACTGTATCATGTTAAGGTCACTGCAAAGACATTTCCTGGAGACAGCCCAAGGGGGGAAGATGCCCATATGAATATTGGCGCTATGTAATAGGTCAGGAAAATAATGAAGAAAAAGATCTGCAATGAAAAGCTCAGTTGTTGTGGGTACGATAACGCCCACGTCAAATTCCTTCCCAGTGCAATCCTCATCACAAAGGAAAATGCCCCTTCCCACAGCAGCTTGTGCCCATGGACAGCAGAGCCTGGTCAGTGATCTCATTAAGGGACAACGGGGCAACTTCCAAAGGTAAGGAAACATGCCTGCTGCGGTGACCCACGCCAGCAGGCCAATCACAGCCTACCCTCAACTCCTCCACAGTTATGCTTTCCCCTTTCCCAGCTCAGCAAAATGCAAGGATGCAGAGGCATTCATGAAGATTTGTATTACAAAAATAATTTAAGGTTAATTGAACAACAAGAAATGGTTTTGGATTCAGGTTAGGATCCAGGCTGGGTTGAAAGTGCAGCTCTGCTTTTATTTCCCCCAGACTGGCACACCAAGATGTAGGAGCAACATGCAGAAATTGCTGAGGAACCAGCTGCAAATGACTGCCCTGGGAGACCATATCAAAAGCCGAGCTAAAGTCAAGGTATATCACATCCGCTGCTCTCCCCACATCCTCCAATCCCTACATGAATGTGGCTGAACTGTGATCTTCCACCACCTCTGGGTTAGCAGCTCCACACCTGAATCATACATAATGTGAGCAAGAACTTCCTTTTGTTAGTTTTGAACTCCCTACCCCCTCATTTCATTTTGTGAGCTCTAGGACTGTGCTGACCCGCTGTTTTCCCGGGCCAAGGTCTTTGGGACCCCCACCCAGGGCCCACATTCTTAAGGACAAGCTTAATTATAGCCCCACTCCTGCCCCGGGTGCTCCCATGAAGCACAGGCCAGCTGGCCTAGAGCTCGCCTCCTGAAGAGGTCCCTGACACCCCTCTGCTTTGCACGGCTCCTGTCTGTGCACCTGGAGTGTACGGGTGTGCACACGTACTGTGGGAGGGGCCCGTCTGCAGTGAGGCAGGGACCTGACCCAAAGGCTTTGTGCAGTGGCCCAGCGGCTGCCTTCCAGACGGGCCTGCGCCTGCCCGGTGGGTGCCCTCCCAGCCTCTCAAGGAAGAGGCCTCTGCCAGGGGAGCCAGTGGCCCAGCACCCACACCCATCCTAGCAGAGGGAAGGAGTGGGCTCCAGCCCAAGCTGAGAGCAGGGCTTGAACACCTGGCTCAGCAGGCAGCAGGAAGCCCCACTCCCCACCGGACTGGGGGCTTCAGGGGAAATGACAGGAGTCACAGACACCGACGCTGCTGCTCAGAGGGGCAGGTGGCAGTGAGGGAACAGAAGCTGCACCTTAGATCGGAGGTGCTCCGAGTGCTAAGGCAGATGTCAGGTTTCTGTCTGGCACCACGGGTGCCCCAGTGATGGGTGCCATGGATGAGAAGGCACAAGCTCAATCATCTGCTCCCACCTCTACCAGAGTGGGAGTGAGCCTGTGTTATTATCTGACTGGCCTGTCCCTGCCTATGGGGTGCACTAGCTCCAGAAAATGCTGTTGTCCAGCTGTAGTGCATGTGCCCTAGGGCTGCAGCCGGCCTTCGAGTATCACGACAGAGTGACCCGAGCCACCCAGCTAAGCCTCCCCCACCAACAGCATCAGGGCTGTTGTGCCAGGGCCAAGCATGCCCTGTGCAGGCAGAGCCTCAGGCGGGGGTTACACGATGGAGTTAGCACCTCTGCGAAGGGAGGCAGGGAGCTTCCGAGCTGGGCTGCATGTGCCATGCGAGTGACACCAGGGGGTGGGCTGGCAGCGTGGCACAGAGCAGTGCTGCCCTGACAAACCTCAGCCCCATGCACGTGGAGAGACAGTGCCCTCCATGGCCTGGCCAGAGCAGGCACCACGAGGGTGCTGCAGGCTGAGGTGCTGGCTATAGCCCAGTGCCTGGGGGTGCCACCTCACACTGCAAGCACTGCCCCAGCTGCAGCCACTGAGGGAGGGAGGCTTTGGCTGGCGGTGGGGAGTGGGGCTTCCTGCTGCCTGCTGAGCCAGGAGTTCAAGCCCTGCTCTCAGCTTGGGCTGGAGCCCACTCCTTCCCTCTGCTAGGATGGGTGTGGGTGCTGGGCCACTGGCTCCCCTGGCAGAGGCCTCTTCCTTGAGAGGCTGTGAGGGCACCGACAGGGCAGCCGCAGCTCAGTGAAGCTGTCTGGAAGCCAGCCGCTGGGCCACTGCACAAAGCCTTTGGGCCAGGTCCCTGCCTTACTGCAGACGGGCCCCTCCCACAGTACATGTGCACACCCGTACACTCCAGGTGCACAGACAGGAGCCGTGCAAAGCAGAGGGGTGTCAGGGACCTCTTCAGGAGGCGAGCTCTAGGCCAGCTGGCCTGTGCTTCATGGGAGCACCCGGGGCAGGAGTGGGGCTATAATTAAGCTTGTCCTTAAGAATGTGGGCCCTGGGTGGGGGTCCCAAAGACCTTGGCCCGGGAAAACAGCGGGTCAGCACAGTCCTAGAGCTCACAAAATGAAATGAGGGGGTAGGGAGTTCAAAACTAACAAAAGGAAGTTCTTGCTCACATTATGTGTGATTCAGGTGTGGAGCTGCTAACCCAGAGGTGGTGGAAGATCACAGTTCAGCCACATTCATGTAGGGATTGGAGGATGTGGGGAGAGCAGCGGATGTGATATACCTTGACTTTAGCTCGGCTTTTGATATGGTCTCCTGCAGCATTCTTGCAAGCAGGTCCAGGTTGGATGAATGGATGTAAGGTGGATAGAAAACTGGCTGGATCATTGGTCTCAAAGGGTAGTGATCAATAGCTCGATGTCTAGTTGGCAGCTGGTATCAAGTAGAGTGACCCAGGGGTTGGTCTGGTTTTGTTCAACATATTCATCAATGACCTGGAAGATGGGATGGAGTGCACCCTCAGCAAGTTTCCAGGTGACTCCATGCTGCAGGGAGTAGTAGATACGCTGGAGGGCAGGGCTAGGATTCAGAGAGCCCTAGACAAATTAGAGGACTGAACCAAACAAAGTCTCATGAGGCTCAATAAGGAGAAGTGCAAAGTCCTGTACTTAGGATGGAACAATCCCATGCACCAGTACAGGCTGGGGACCAATGGCCTAAGCAGCAGCTCCACAGAAAAGGGCCTGGGGGTTACAGTGGACAATGAGCTGGATGAGAGTCAACAGTGTGTCCTTGTTGCCAAGAAGGCTAATGACATCTTGAGCTGCACTGGTAGGACCACTGCCAGCAGATTGGGGGAAGTGATTATCCCCCTCTATTCAGCACTGGTGAGGCCACATCTGGAATATTGTATCCAGTTTTTGTCCCCCCCCCCGAAAGGGTGTAGACTAGGGGTGGGCAAAATACACCCTGCAAGGTGGATCTGGCCCATCAACTGATTGCCGGGCAGGTGGGACTGTTTCCGCCACAATCACAATGGGCGGGTGGGACTGCTTCTGCCCAGTGCTGATGCACTGGCATCAGTTGTGGACCCAGGCAGATGCCCTGGTCTCTCCTGCTGGTAGTGTCCACAGCTGGTGCCGCTGCCTACCCAGGGTTGCTTCCACCATGTCAGATGGGTGCTGGAGTAAACTGCGGACACAACTGGCAGGTTCCAGGTTGAGGCAAGGATTGGGGCGTGCTGCAACTCTAGGTGGGATTGGGATTGGGATTGGGGCATGCTGCGGCTTTGGGTGCAATGGGAATCAGGGTGTGCTGCAACTCTGGGTGGGATTGGGATTGGGGCATGCTGCAGCTCTGAGTGGAGTGGGGATTGGGGCATGCTGCAACTCTGGGCAGGACCGGGATTGGGGTGTGCTGCAGCTCTGGGTGGGGTGAGGATTGGGGTGGGATGGGGATTGGGGTGTGCTGCAGCTCTGGGTGGGGTGGGGATTCAGGCATGCTGCAACTTCTGTAAAGTGGGGATTGGAGAGAGAGAAAAGTGTAGCCCTCAAGAGGATACCAAAAATCATTAAGTGGCCCTCCAGCCAAAATAATTGCCCACCCGTGATGTAGATAAATTGGAGAGTCCAGTGGAAGGCAACAAAAATGGTTAGGGGGCTGGGGTGCATGACTTCTAAGGAGAAGCTGAGGAAACTGGGCTTATTTAGTGTGCAGAAGAGAAGACTGAGGGGGGATTTAATAGCAGCCTTCAGGATGGTGGTAAAGAGGATGGAGCTGGGCTGTTCTCAGTGGTGGCAGTGACAGAACAAGGAACAACGGTCTCAAGCCACAGCAAGGGACGTTCAGGTTAGATACTAAGAAAAACTCTCCCTAGGAGGGTAGTCAAGCACTGGAGCAGGTTACCCAGAGCGGTGGTGGAATCACCACCCTTGGAGGCTTTTAAGACCCGGCTAGACAAAGCCTTGGCTGGGATGATGTGGCTGGGGCTGGTCCTGCTCCGAGCAGGGGGCGGACTAGATGCGAGGTCTCCTCAACCCTCATTTTCTGTGGTTCTGTGAGAGGCGGCCGTGCAGCGGGGGG